CTGCTGAATCCCCGGCAGGCTGTGTTGGAGGCCTTGGGATGAGATTCGAGTGAATTTGAGGCGAATTTACCGGAATTTGATTTTGGCGGGTCGGGAGAGTCAAAACTCAAATCGCACGAATTTGCCGCAAATTCGCTCGAATCTGTAGTCACGCAGCTAAGCCGCCGACTTGGCGATTGGTTGGAGCAAGCAGTCCTTGGGGTAGTTGCTGGGTTGGTAGGCTCATAAGCAAAAGGGGCCGGTTTCAAATTCTTTCATGTTCATAACTCTCCCTAATCCTGGCTCCCTTCCCTGTCAGGTGGGTGTTGCAGGGCCCGCCTCACGGCACCTCCTTATTCCCTATCATGCTGTACTCTCAGATTAAAATTAAGCACTTCAACAAATGCCAACCAATATATTATTTGTGGAGAAGTGGCCCGAATCCCCACAGTGCTGGGTGGGTCCCTTCCCATAATCCAAATCCAGTCCCTCACCCGTGGCTTGAGTAACCAAAACTAAAGAAGTTAGCGCGCGCGGTAGAGCATGAAATCAATGAGATTCCAGTGACGAGGTCAGTGGTTTAACATCGGCGAAATTCTTCTAAGTTGTACAGATCTTAGCGTTTGCGACTTTTCGGTTGTCTGAGCACATGTCAAGTCAATGGCAAACAAAGCACGCTGGAGTTCATTTTTTGCCGTGAATTCAACCAGCCGAATTTTGGTGTCAACTGTTCCGGCACCCACCCTTGTTATACTAGTCTGACGCTGCCTAGCCTACTAGCCGAGACGTGAATGTCAGTAAGTTGGCCGGTCCCATGAGCGCGCAGCAGAAACACCGCCCCTTCTTTTTGTATCGTCGCTTTTGTTGTGGGCCGGGTTAGCAAGTCTGGGATGCAACTCGGTGCAGTTGCTCTTCCCCAGACACAGTCTTCAGTGGAACTGACAAAGCTCGTCAGTATTCATAGTAGTAATGCTTACTGTAATGATCCGGTATCAGTCTTGTCTTGCTAGCAAAGACAGGGCGTCCTGAACAAGGCTGCCATGGTCTAAGGGTTGATTTGAAGGGGATGATCTGTATTCTCTTAGGGCCCCAAACACGCATCACACGAAAAGGATCTTCAGACAGTTGCCTGAAACTCTGTAAGAGTGTCTCTACGGAAAGATATGGAAAGATGTGTGCGACATTGACAGCATTGAACTTGTGCAGCGCAAAGAAAGCATTTGAAGCACTTCCTTGTTTTTCTAGTGCGCTGAAAGCGCAGGTTTCTCCGACAGCTTCTTCGTTGCTCATCTTCATTGGAGTTGTGCTTGTCCATGCCGAAAAACGTGTTTCTGCCCCTGTCACCTTCGGACCGTGCTGTGGCTAAGGACAGTGTCGCAAATGCAGGAAGCGTGAAAGGTGTCGTTCTCTTGCTTTACGGTCTTTTGGAAAGCAATGCTCAGCATGGCTTCGCAATGTTCCCACTGGGCTTTGTTTCAGCTAGTCCGACCTTCTGGTCATGAGTATGCCTCATCAAAAACTAGCCAAGCATCTTCAGGTTTCCTACTTGGGATAAAGGAAATTAGGGCAGGCTTTGGCAAATGCTTTTTCATGCACAACTCCAAGGATACCCTTTGGGAGCTGTAAACTTTGTGCTCTGACGTTAAATAACATGCGTGTGCCTGAGGTTGCGGAAACGCACCTGCTCGGAAGACAAGCTTCCTGGCCGCGTGCTCAAGACTGTCGGGGGCTCGTCTCCTGCGCTCAAACTCAGCTGTCTCCGAACGGCATGCGCTTTTTGCTTCTTGCAGGGTGAATGCTGGAATCGTCGTGGTCGCATGCTCCCAGTGCATTCATGGAAATGTGGAGCTTGAGAAGTATGCCGTGGGCCGTGCATTTGCAGAATGTGGTGTGACTTGACAGTCATTGGTCTGTTATAATTTCCCTCCGCATCCATCCGCAATCTTTCAGATCGCGGACTTCCCACGCTTTGGCAGGGTGCTTCATTGTCTCTATGTGTTCTTGGTGGAGGAGTTTGAATGATTTTGGGAATCTTTTGGGAGTTTTTTTTTTTTTGGCCCTGTGATCCTCTGGCCCTTCGGTCATGCAGTCCTGCCGGCCACGCAGTCCTCCGGTGGCAAGGCCCTCCCAATCCCCAGTTTTTCAGCAGCTTCCATTTCTTCATTCTCATCGTGTTTCAACAGTCTTCATCACTTTTCATGATTCTGCAGTATGTTTCATCAAATTTCCATCAGCCTGCATCACTTTCCATCATGTTTCATAATTGTTTATCTTTTTCCATTACTTTCATATATTCCGTCATTTCCAGCAATTTCCATCATTTTCATGGTTGTTCAATCATTTTTTTGTGTTTTTTTTTGAATATTTGTCCATTTTTCTAAAAATATCAGGTTCTCATAACTTTCCACATTTTTCATGTTCATGGTTTTTGGTCGTTTTATGATTAGCAGTAGTTTGCATTTTCAAATCTTTTCCATCACTTTCAACATTTTCAACAGTTTTCATCCTGTTCATATGGTTTCACCACGATTTTATCATGGCTCACTATGTTTCTTCACTTTTCATCAGTTTTCATGACTGTTGATAACATTTCATTGTCATCATATCTCATCGGTCTCATAACTTCATGATTTTCGGGAAATTTCATCACTATCATCACCACATGTCATCAATATCATTAAGTTTGTTGAATACACTTTCCCCATGCTTCCTCACATTCCATCATGTGTCATCGCTTTCATCGTCATCATCATTTTCACAATCTTATCATTTCATAATGCTTCATTGATGTGTTGCGTTTCACCATTTTTGCCATGTTCCTTCAAGGCTCATCATGTTTCATTTGCATCTGACATGTTTCTTCATAATTCATCATGTGTCAGCATGTGTTCCATCAGATATTGTCGTTCCCCTGCAGATTGTAATCAGTCATTTCCTCATCCTTAATCATGTTTCACCATTCTTTTATCGTCGCATCTCATGTTCACCGATTTTGTCATGTTCATCATTTTCAATCTTTTGCCGTACTTTCAACAATTTTCATCACAACTATTTTTCAGCATATGCCATTATTTTGAATCGTGTTTCATCAATTTCCAATACATTTCCTTCATGATTTTCAAATTCAGTTTTCATCGATGTCTGAAAGTTACAGGGGCAGCATGCAAAGGTTTAGAGATGTTGTTCATTCTGTTCTTGCTCTGATTGGGTTTGCTTGTTACCGTTGCCAGATCAAAAATCATGCGAGAAAGCACATGGTCTAATCTTCGTCCAAGTTTTGCAAATGGGGGGGTGCGCTTCCCCCCCCCCCACCCCCCCAACCACTGTTTTTCCAAAGCACATGCACGCAAGCATCTGTCAGCATACTTCATCACTCACGTTACGTTTCGTGAAAGTTCCTTTTTTCGTAGAAGTCCATCACTTGCCCGTATTCTGGTCATTTTTCTGCTTTCTCATGATTGTGGTACGTTTTCCTTCTTTTCAGCATTTTTGTCATGATGTTGAGCAGTTTTCATGATTTGCGTTATTTTGCCACATTTCATCATGTTTCTATCGCATTCATCATGTTTCATCATCTGTCATTCATCATGTTTCATCATCTTCTTATATTTTGTCATTCCCATCATATTTCATACTGGTTCCTACGTGCTTCTGACATGTCTTTTCATCGCATATTACTTATCATTATTCATCATTTTTATCATTTTTCATGAGTTTCATCGTTGTTGTGTTTTTGATGTGCTACCTTTTCTATCGTTTCATAACTTTTCATAAGTTCGACCATGTTGCATCGTTTTCATATTTTCAGAATTATCTTCACATCTTGCCTCGAAGTCGAGCTCTCGCGCGGAACTGACTGGCTCAGCCGTCCAAAAAAGCACCCTACCACCAAAAAAAAAACAAACAAATTCTGGGCGCATTGTTGATTGATGGTGGTTTGATTTGGTGAAGGTGATTCCTGGTCACGACATGACGGCCGAGGCGACGGACTGAAACTCAGCCAGCAGCAGGGCTTTTGGTGAACAAATGGGGTGTTGATGGGGCCCATGCTTGCTCCTAAAAGCTACTCGAGGTTACAAAGCTGGCATACTTGCTGTCCAAACGGCTCTCTCCCACCGACTGCCGCAAGGCATGAGATTGATGCTTCTGCAGTGCAAGCTGTGGATCTGTAGGTGCTACAAGAATTCTTGGCAGGCCATGCAGGATAACTTGCGTGGTGAGATGTTTTCGCCCGCCAAGACTTTGGTTCCTTGGCCGCATGTGGCGTGATTCTCTATCTCAGCAACAGGTGCGCTTCAGCCTATTTGGCCTTTTGAGACTGTGCTCAGGATGTGTCCTCCTCCTGGATGGACTTGCAAAGTCCTTGAGTGCACTAAGAGAGGGTTGACTTGCCTCTCGAAACTGGGGATGGCGCTGCCTAGACAGTCTAGTGTCAGTGGCCCTATGTCTCCTGTGAATGCTATGAGGCCTGTTGCCTCAGCCTGTGGGTTCTAGATTGATGACACGAGATGCTTGTACAGTGAAGCCTCCCAGCTCCGTGTCTCCATGGCCACAGAGCCTGAGCCTCAACAGCATCATCAGAGCTGGTGCTTGGGCCCCAGCGGTTGAAAACAGTCCCGAAGTCATTCTTATTAGTTGAAGTGAAACGAAACCAGGACTACTTCACTGCCAGAAAGCAATATCAAGAACATGTCGTAGTTGTGTTGTTGCCGTGGGGCTAGGGTTGCATGGTTTACTCTGGCAATGTGCACAAAATCTGGTTCTACAACTTGAGAGTTGTTTTCCCTTGTGCAGCATGTCAAACAATCTGCCAGCATGGTGGGGTGTGGTTGGTTGCTCACATAGAACTTGGAACATACGTGCCGATTCCAAGTATAATTTTGTGAGCAGCTCTGACGCATCTGCCGCTAAACCTGATGCATACTTCCTTCTCAGTCACCTACTTTTGACTAGAGCGAAAACTACCGCTAGGGCGCGACGAGTAGAAATCCAGTTCATAAATGTCTCATGCTTTGCCGCAGGTGGTCTTGGACATGGCTGCAGCGCCTGGTGGCAAGACAACGTGCCTTCGCGTCTAATTGAAGTGTTCCTTGCCCCACATGGGAACTCACATCAGGTACATAGGCCAGCTCATGCGAAACACCGGCACGCTATTTGCCAATGACCTGCGCAAAGACAGATGCAAGGACCTGCAGCAAGACTCTGTCCTTGGGTGATTGCAGGTCCTGTGAAGCTTTGTGCAGGCCCTTGTGGCCAACGTGCACCGTTTGGGATTGACAAATGTCGTGGTGTCGGAGCCTCAAATCTTTGAGGAGAAAACGACTCCGCCAGCATCCGCCAGCACAGCATCAATTGGCTTGCTACTGTTTGTGTCAATGACAAGGACAAATCTGGATGGCAAGAAGCTGTCGAAGATGTTGCCCCGCCTGGACCGTGCTGGAAGCTGAGTGTCCGCAGACGAAACATGCTGAGGTTTTACAGAGCCTCCAGATCTTTTTTGTAAGGACACCACCGTCGAATAGCTCAAACATTTGGATTAGGGGGGACAAGAGGATCCCCGTTTTTAGCATGGGGAGCCTTGGGGTCCAGCAAAAGCAGGCGAATACTGTTGCGGTCAGATCCGATCGCATGAACCTATCCGGGAATAGCAGGCAGGCCGCCTATTTATGACCGCCCACGCCCCGGGAAAGTCCTATTAGCCCTGGCGTGACCTCGCCTTGTGAGAAGAACTTTGCTTTTTTACCCAGTTTGCAATTTCCGTGCCAGGACAAGAAAGCTTGATAAACCTAGGCTGACAATCAAGGTCTTTCATACAAGAATGGGAGGCCTATAAGAGATCCTGAAGCATCTCCCTGGCATGAGCTTGGCCAATCTGCAAAGCGAAACTATTGCAAAGAATACCATTAACAATCTGCAGGCGTGGCAGTTTGCATGACATGGAGATTGATGGAAGTGAAGCACAGCAAATCCGCGCACTGTGACGGATGCAATGTAGTAGTAGGAAGTTGTAGGTGCCGGTGCCTTGTCGCTGCCGGCACGCAAAAGAGGACGAGCTCACACGTCCTTAGCTTCCCCGTGAAGGGGCAATCCTGTCAGGTCAGGTTGTAGGCAGCAAGGGGACGCAGAACAACTGAAGCACAGTCCACTCTACCCCCCCCGCCCTCCCCGACCCCTGAGAAGAACGAAGAGCCCTGCCCAGGGGAAAGAGGAAGAAAACTGGAAAGATCGAACGAGAGTCAAATGTCACA